GAAATAATTTTCAGTGTACTGCAGTCATAGAAACTGACCACAGGAGGCATCCGACTGTGTCCATGTGAGCTAAAAACAGTCATTTTTTCTGTAGACTGTTGTAAATGTCTGTTTTCTAAAAACAAGATGTCGTCAGTTGAGTGTTTTAAGAGTACTGCTGTATCTGTTTCTCTCCACCTTAAAAGATTTCCTGTAACATTTCAGTCACACTGTCATGTTAGTGTAAACTTTATAGTGTGCAGCCAGTGGTTGAACTTCCGAACCCAAAGTAGATATTAATTTAGACCCATAATCCCTCGCAGCAGGTTGCATTATATCAGGTTACGTTTGTGGTGTGTCTGTGTTTTAAATAGATTGACCCGCACACACTCCACACTGATGGAACTACAGCTCTGAGTAACAGCAGCAAGAGCAGAAAAATTATCATCAGGTGTCACGCTTTCGCTGACTCAACAGCCCGATTCTGCTAAAGCAATTAACTTATTCAAATAAATGTTATAGTCATCTGCATATAGAAGTCTAGTTTTGATTTTCATTTATTTGGCTTCACTTTGATATTACATATCAAAGTGAAGCCACAAAAATGAAGCCAAAATTAGAAAAATAAACAAAAATAAACCAGCTGAAGATATTCATTGCCATTACTAACTATCTTACCTACTTAGAATTTCCAGCTTCTGTGTACGCTAATTATTTAGGACAATTAAAGTCGTTAAGCACTTGCCCACAAGCCATGCAGCAGGTGGCTTCTGAGCACTTTGCCTGTTAGCATCATGCTAGCTTCTAAAATTAGCAGTGTCAACCTTCCTGTAAAATTCTGCAGTCATTTAAAATAGGAGCCAGCTGCTGCAGTCGCGTGGCATCTCATCAAGAACATGCCAAACTAATTGTCTTTGTCTGGGCAAGAGGAAGAAAAGTGTGAGCAACTAAACCACGCTAGCACCAGGTTGGCCTTCGATTCTCTTCCTCCATCTCACAGCATTTAGTAACACTTTTTTTTTGAAGAACACAGTAGCTAAAACAAAGCATCAGGCACTTTTATTGTTCATATTAATATTTTAAAACAAGTTTATACTTTTTTGTACTTGTTAGCAATGATTTGGGTTTTTTTGTTTGCCATTATATGTTTGGTTTCTAATTTACTCTACTTGCTTTTCAACTCTTTGCCCATAAGATAGAATCAAACAGAGGGGAAAACACCAAATTAACAATAAAACTTTTATTTATAATAATAATAATAAATTTTCCACCACAATAAAATTCAACAAAGGCTCACTAGAAAAGTGTCAACTGTGTGTGTTCTGTACAGTAGATACAGTACATTGTAAAACTGACCACAGGGTGGCGCAGCAGCAAATTCAAAAGCCCCTTGAAAAAAAAAATCTCTAACATTTTTCATTGCTATTTACAAATTGAATATCCACATTGTAATCGAACAGTCAGACATCAAAGAAACATTATCATGCTTCATATTAACAGTGGAAGTAGAGATCTCTCAACAGCAGCTAAATGTCAAACCAGGATTAGGATTAGGGCACACATGCTACTGAGTGCGCTGTTAATCCAGACTTTAGCTTCCTGTGTGACCGCAGTCTATTAAAGGATGAAGATTAAGGTCATTTTTCAAATTTCCTCAGAAATTTTCATACTTCTTCTCACAAACATCTGTTTGAAATTTTTTGTTTGATGGGCATTCGGATCTCACTTTAATTTGTTACTCTTTTTTTAACATAAAATCTCTTTATTTCAAAATGTTTTAATAGTCAGTGATTCTTTCTTAGAAGAATCTGAATTTTAATAGTTTTTAATGAAGTCCCAAAACATCATCTGTTAATGTAGTTAACCTAAAACGTAAAATGTTGTCAGAATCTTGTTCTTTCTCTCTTGCTTTTTTTGTTGCCTGCTGTATTTTAGCAACTAGATTTAGCTAGGATACTAAAGGAATGCACTTTGGTAAAATAACCCAAATGCCCTAGGTGTGAAATCACAAATACGACAACAGATGGTACAAAAAGAAAAATAAGAATAAAAGACTTTGAGGTACTATAATGAAACTAAAGAAAATATGTAAAATGATTAAAAGTTTGTGTGTTCAACACAACCCTAACTAGCTAGTAACAATAAAATGCTACTAGCTAATACCAGCCGGTTTGCTGTAGGCTAGTGTTAGTGATACTGTAGAGACAAATAAAGGTCAGTGCAACAGCTAGCTAGCAGCTGGATGCTACTAGTTGATCGGCTAGTGTTAGCTTCATCCTGTTGTCAGCAGGTATCACTCAACAATTCTGAGGCGACATTTGGCTGATGTGTCTGTACGTTGTGCAGCCATGTTTCATGACGCCACCCAACACACACGTGCACACATGCGTACAACTGTGTACAATGCCAGTTTAAAGCTACAGTGTGCAGTTAGCATGTTGTTTTGGTAAGATCGGGAGGGGGGTATTTAAAAAAGAAAATTGGTATGTTTCCCTGGTCTAAACAGAATTACCTGGTTAAATATTGGCCACATTATTCATACAGATATAAAAAAATGTTGGCACCACAGAAACCTGCTGTTGATTTAATGTCTATGAAAACTGTGAGAAAATTATACCTGGCAACTTTGTATAAAAAGTAATTTTCCTTTTTTATTTTCTTCACTTTTCCTGAACCTGAGCTAAAAATTGTTGTCATTCTGTTCCATTCTTAAGGCAGCATAAAGCTAAGAGTAGTCACCATACTGTTAAGAATGCAAGAGGTTAGATATTTAGCACTTTTGTTGAGTTGCAGGGTAACTGGTATCCAGTTAGATGTTAAATTGTGATAGGCTGACTAAGGAAAAAAACACCTTTCGGTCCTGTAACAAACTACTGCAACGAAAATCTTGGCTAGCTACGCTAATAGGCACAAAGCTAACAAAGTTTAATGAAAACAACTAGACAGAGAGGTAGCCAGTTAACAGTTAATATTAGAGCCGTTTGCTTGGATCTCACAATTAAAAGGCTCAAAGATCTGAAACCAAAAGGTGAAACTTTAGTAGCCTTAACAATGTGGTTGCCTGGTCTTTGGCTAGCCTAGTAGATAACTCAAATTATTGTTGTACTTGCAACGAAGGCAGGGATTTTTTGATCGCCAAGGCAACGAAGGCAGGGATTTTTTGATCGCAGCCAAACTACCACAAAGTCAACACAGAATTTAGCCAGCTAAGTATGTTGATTGGGCTCAAAGCTAGCATGAGAGATTCATTAAATGACCGCAGGGCTGCAAAGTTGACAACCCCGTCCCCCAAAAATACGATGAAGTGCAGGCCACTGCTCCCTGCGAGTTCTGTGGTAGGTGTTACAGATGGCTTAAATACAGTGAAGTAACAAAAGAAAATCTAGATGAGGGAATGAGTTTTGTGTTTATGAACCTTTTAGTCTTTTTTGCGATGGCATCAACACTAAAGTGTGTGTTTGTGTGTGTTGGGAGTGAGTGACATGGCGTTGAGATACTGAAGGCACAAAGTTATGACTTTCAGCGTTCCTCATTAAAAAAGGTTTTACAAAATATTAAAAACACAATTAACAAACAAACACAACAATCCAAATCCAATAAAAACAAACAAACATCCAGAGAGGACCACACCTCACTTCCTCCTTCATAGGAAGGGGAAGAGTTTCCCCTGAGATGGGCGGCGCAGGTAGTGTCTGTGTTTTTTTTTTTTTAAATGTTAGCAAGTAACTGTCTCCTGTGCGTCATGAATTTTTTGAAGAGTAACAATATTCCACCTCCTTTTTCACTTCTTGTTCCTGTTTCCTCCACGTCCTTTTCCTGTAACTTTTACGTTCGTGGCCCAAATTCCGGGGTGCGTTAGGATATTTCATGAGGGAATAAGCTTTGATAACAAATATCATACAAACACACCCTACCACACACATACATTCAAGTATACGACACAAACCATGCATTAAAGTGGAGTTTTGGATCAATAAATATCTTTTAAAATGTATAATAAATAAAAGTCCTGGTTTAATCTGCCTGTACTCCCTGCTCCAATCAAACCGCGGGATGATTTCACTAACACTGACTTGAATCAGTTTGATTGATCAGAGATGCTGTGACAGTTTTGAAAATGTTCTTTTGTTTTCACCATGTACTAACATGTTGCAATGCAAGCCACCTTTGATTTTCCTAAACTCTCTCGTCTCCATTTGCAAAATAGCTCACTATATTCTAATAATAATAATAGCTTAATCGAACCAACATGTAACCTTAAATGGCTCCTTAATATCAGATGTTGACCACGATATTTAGACCAAGTCACCAACACTATTCTAGGGCTGTTAGTTCGTATTAGCATAGGCCCGTAGTTCTGTTGTTAATGATTAATCAAAGCTAATTTTGTCATTAGAATCTGGGCCTAGGGAATGAATTTGTGCAGCCTATCAGTGGACAGGACCCAATTTGCTAAGCTGAGTCCAAATAGCAAGTTTGAGCAGCATGAATTCAGAATGAGGCCGACGTTGTGCATGTCATGACCCACATTGTATAGCAACTAATTTAGTCATTTGGGACGTTGGCTGGGGACTGGTACTGATTTGCAAATACTGATTTTTTTTTTTATGCTTTCCACTCTTGTTTATCTGGTGAAAACTGTTTGTTGAATATCAAGCTAAAGCATAGAAATACATAACTTGAAATTTCACAGTAATATTGCAATTTCCATTTTAACTATAGCAGCCTTTTGTACAATCAGAGCCACCGTCTACCAAACTGCTGTCTGAAACCCTAGTCTGCACCTTCCTGTAAGAGCAGGTTATGTCTGTATCTACATCTGACCTCACCATGCCAACACTGCAGTAATACACAGCGTTACATACAGTCCTGGGTCCTAAAATACAACAACACTCACGTTTCCTTGTATATGGAATCTATATGTAGACTAGTCCAACGCTCCTTCTGCTGCTCAGCTCCAGTTACAAAAACATTTAAGAGGTCGTAATAAATCCAACAGAATTCCGCACAAACTGTTCCTCTTTTTTTTTTTCATTTTGGACTTTGCTTTTCCTAAGCTTAAAACACAGTAGGTTCTCTCTGCCGACTTTTCACCATTACTACAACCCATTAACTGCCTCCTCAAGTAATATTTATTTTTGTGACATTACAGCAGATATTGTGGCAACCTAACGTTTTGTCTCTGTGTTGCAGAAAGTTTCTCCCAGTCTGGACATTTGAAATTATTACCTCACTGATGTAATATGGAAAATCTTCTCCCAATTGTTCCTCAACACTATGTAAAATTCATATTTTGATCTAATTTTAATCAAACTGTTGGAAGTCTACCAATGGGATAGAAACCTAATTTAGCTTTAAGTTAAGCAGCAGCTTTATTTTAACTTACTGTAGCTTTTATAGATAGCTGACCAAAAATGTCATCAAAAAAATCTGGTTTTCATCTCATCCACAAACCCTCATTAATCAACTTTCCTTTCAACTTTCCTTTCAATTTAAGCAAACTTGTTTCATTCCTAAATTCCAAAACATTCCAGTATATTTTTCTTTGTTTTTTTGAAAATTCAAAATTACATTAGGGCTGTCAAAATTAGCCCATTAACTGTGTAAATTATTTTTGAGAACTGATTTGAATTTTATATGCGACACACATATATATATATTTATATATGTATATATATATATATATAGTCCTCTTACTTATGAACTTAATTTTCCATGTAACCTTTTCCTCATACTTTAAAATCGTTTCACCTAGAGCTTAGCTTCAAAGCATGTAAAAATGACATGTAATTGTCAAGTTTCAACTACTTCAGGCTACATGCTGTAAACAGAGCTAGGTTACACTCGTCAACCAGTAGTGCCTCCTAATAAAACCAAATCATCCAGCTACTAACTTACTCTTATGCCTAACTCTTTCTGCTCAAATTTCATTTTGATTTCGATTAAAACGTTTTTTAATTTCTCTGGAAATACAAGTTAACCTCCTTGGTAAACCAATGGAAACCAGTGGATGTTTTATTAACATAAATCGATCATTGTTTAGCAATCATCTCACAAACCTCTCTCACTGATTTTTGATAGAAATGAGAATACATTTTTCCTATCTAACAATCCAGGGAGTCGTGGCTGAACTTTGGCTAGATCCACAGACAGGTTTTTATTTATTTAAAAACACATTTCTGGTTAAAAAGATGACTGGTGATGAGATAGAAACAGTAGTTTCAAATCGTGGGAAATTTATGCTTTTTGGAATAAAAATGATTACTATGGTTTTACTAACTGTGGTATTGTGGAAAACAGCTTCCAGTGGGAGCAGAAATTGGGAATTCTGTAGCAGGTTTTGTTAGGGTCAAGCACCGCAACAACTTTTGGAGTGCTCACAGAACGCTTTGCGGTAAATGTAAACTGGGCTCATTCTGTGCTAGAAGCAAAAGACTAAACGCTTTGTTCCCTCAGTCAGCACCATGTTCAGAGTATGTTGTGTCAGCTTGGCAGCTACAGTGTTGTGGTGTTGATTGTCAGAGCAGCATCCACTTCTGCTTACCATTTGAAATATTGTAAAAACAACGCACCCCGGGTGTTCTGTTTCCTTTCAGCACTTCTTACATCCCAGCTTGGACATCCCGATGCACGTTATCCAACCCAATGCAAAGCTTTGTTTGTACTGACTGCACCCCAACAACGCCATGAAGAAACACCACTGCGCAAAAGACGCACACTCAAAACTGAACAAACCCTCTGCTTCTCAGGTTCTACTAGTTGCTCAAACCACAGCGTGTAGGGTGCACTTACTCTCAACTGACAAGTTTGGGTAAAACCGTCCTTGGCTGAATGTTTCCGTTAGCATCAGTAATTGCTGCTATATTAGTCCGTGTTTTGGAGGAGGTCATAACCGTGGTTGAGGAGGTGGTGGCGAGCTTGGGAATAGAGGTGATGACGCCTTCAGAGGTGGTCGTTCCCCGTTTAGATGACGAGGTCTTGTCTCCTGCTGTTGTTCCTGCAGGAGGTTTTGGGAGCCGCCTCCTCAGCCACGGATGGCGCAGTGCTTGGCTGGGTGTCATCCTAAGTGCAGGATCCCACTCTAGACACTGTTTAAGAAAGTCCAGGAAGAGAGGGTCATCGCAGCCCTTTAATGCTGCACTCAAGTCTTTGCTTCCTGGAGGGCCGCGTATCTTTCCCCTCCGGGATCGACCACCATTTAGTGCAGTTGATCCATCAGGCAATGTGGTGACGACACAATAACGTGGGTACCCTTTGGATGATACGAAGTTTTTGGCCCGTTTGGATGCGTCAAGGAGTTTCTGGCTTGGCATTCCTAACAGTTCAATAATGCAGGCCATCTGGTCTGTTTCATCCTCTCCTGGTAACAATGGAAAACCCGTCAAGAGCTCAGCCAGGATGCAGCCAAGGGACCACATATCAATGGGCATCCCATATCTGGAACCTGAAAGAGACATTGAAGTCAAAGACTTCATTAAACTGAAATGAATTCTCATTGGCTACTGGTCCTTTTAGAACCAATGCTTTTAATAGGCTATACTTCTCTGATTAGCTCAGCTTTAGATTCTTACCTAGAATGACCTCTGGGGCTCGGTAGAACCTTGATTGGATGTAGGTGTAAACCCTTTGATGTTCATAACAACTAGAACCAAAGTCAATTACCTATAAACAAAGTCAGAAGCAGACAAGGTTAGGTTATCATTGTTTTTTGTGTGCAGAAAATGTTGAACATTTTGTGCGTTTTACCTTAATGCCGCTGCGTCCCTGCTGCTTCAGTAAAATGTTCTCAGGCTTGAGGTCGCAGTGAATGATGCGGTTCTTGTGTAGCGAGTCCAGGCACTGCAGGATGGAGTGGGCAAACTTCCTAACCAACGGAAGGCTGAAGCCCTGAAACTTGTTCTTCTTGATGAGCTCATAAAGGTTCATGCTAAGCAGCTCAAAGGTCATGCAGATGTGATTCCTGAAGGTAAAATTCTCCAGCATGTGGATAACATTCATGCTCGAGTCCTTGTCCTGCTTCCTTAGGTGCTCCAGGATGCGGATCTCCTCCGCTGCCTGTCTGTGGAAGCGCTTCTCGTTGCGGACCATCTTTAGAGCCACATGGGTCTGCACCTTGTGGTCAAATGCCTTAACCACCTACAAGGGGGAGGAGATAAAAGAGGATCAAACTTTAGCCTATCCACGTCTAGAACAAAACACTGTAAAATTCGATTTAGGAATTCTAGCCAATGGTTAAATCCCTGGTAAAAATTAATGTCCTAGTGAAATCAAATGAATACCTGTCCAAAGCTGCCCTTGCCAATGACTTTGAGAACTTCATAGCGATAGGCGATGTGATCATGTGGAACATGGATGTAGGAACCCTGGTCATCATCATAACCCCCATTGTTGGCCCCACCCATGACCCCTGTCCTCTTCTTAGCGTTGGGTCCAACAAAATAAACTAGATAGAAAAAAGATACTAACGTTAGTAACATTCCAAACGTTCATTGAATTTTATCTTTGGAATCAAAGAAAAAGAGATAGTTAGGAATTTTAGGGTTAAAAGACAATAAGTACAGACATCCAACATGACCGATGTTCAGCTATTGTTCAGAAAAAAATAAAGTTGCTTGTTTTGACCTAATTCTTGCTGCTCTTGTTAATGTTCACAACCAGATTCATAAATCTTTTGCTTTGGTACAAACACTTACCTTCAGTAAAACTGAAAATTTCGTGATGTTCAAATGTGGACATTTTGGACATGAACTGCTTCATGGCCTGCTCCGGGGTCAGAGGGTTAGGCTTTGTCTTGCTTTCTGTCGACTTGTTGGACGTGGCGCTGCCCTGGCGGCCATGGTGGGCAGGGTCTGTGGCAGAGGTCTGCCTGTCAGGTAGTAGCAAACCTGGTCGGGTAGAGTTGAGTGGAGCCAGGCCATTAGGTTGGGAAGTGAGGACAGCACGTTTGTTACTGTTCTCCTCGTACAGCTGGGTGATGTGGACCTGTGATTGGACGGCAGTGTCCGTCATGTTGGGTTTAGAGCCTCCCTGATAGAAAATGCACGGAAGCTTCAGATGAGATGGCATGTTCACAAAAAACAGTCAGTGACTGCTGTATTATTGATCAGTCTCTCCAATAAAATAAGTACTGTCTTCTTCCTTTCCTCTGGGGATTTAGGGCAGTTGTCACCTGTAAGTTGCATCACTGCCTCTTTACAACTGATAAAATAATCCCTGTGTGACTAGCTTCAAATCATTCCCGAATTGTTACAATTTGGGGTTTTCCGCTATTCTCCGTCCCAATGCAGAAGTGCTTCTTCAACCTCGTGAGGTAAATCTTTAGACAGTTATGAGTTTATCGGTCAGTTATTGTTACGTTACTGCTTTAAACAATCACCTGCCTGCCACAGATTCTCCAAGAACAAAGCCAGGCTTGTTATGCAAACATTGTTCTTTAAAAAGCAGCAAATTTTTCCATTACTGCTCTGATCCGGAAATCCTGACTATAGAATTGCTTGGCCTTAAAAAAGAACTATCAAAGTAATAATGATAAAAGGCACTGGACTTTTATGTATTTGAAGAGAGAAAGTGGCAGGAAATAGCCCTCCAGTTAATATACGTGAATGAGAATATAGAGTTTTATTTTTTATAATACTTAATCTTCAACAATAAATAAATAAAAACAAAAACAAATCATGTCTTAAAATGTAAATCTGCTGACACCAATGTCAATCCCATACATTCTTTTCTCCTACAGCACGTCGCGCAAAGTTAAGTTAAGCATTTGGGCTTGGGTATCGGGCTGGACAAGCTATAAGCTTTTTCAATGTTCGATCCTGATATTGTGACCGATACTGTACGAATACCGATCCTGAGTATTGGGTTGAACCATCCCTAGTCTGTATATACCTTTTCTTTCTGTACTTATATTATTACATTGTTTTTTTTACATTTTGGATTCTAAAACTGATGGATGGTTGAAAACCATGTTTCATGTATGTGGTAGCAGGCTGGTTCTAAGCAGCAGGGGGCGCTCAAAGCACAATCTGCAGCTTACTGTGTGATTTCTTTGCAGCCTCTAAACACAATTCAAGCCTGAAATTTAGCTTTACTGTAAACATGTCTAGTTTTGTCTAATGTTCAAACCTGGAATGTTTGCATGTAATTGTGTGAAATGGAACAGAGCAAACATGAAGGGTAAACATTATTGATTATAACAGTTCATAAATGAGCAGTTTGTCTCATTTAGGATCTCTGTGAGTCTAATGATGTTATTAGGATTAATAATCGCTGCTCTCTCTCTCTCCCGCTCTCTCTCTCTCTCATGTCCCTTGGCCTCTCGCCCAGTGAGTCACTCCCCGTTGCCCTGGTGACCAGAACACCTGGGTCTTTTCAGATAACAGTAGTCTTTGGCTTTTAGTTCACACGCAAACATCTACACGTGCAGGAAAAATATGGCACAGATCAAAGACCCTGCACGTGTGTGTGTGTGTGTTATTTAAATTACCTGTCATTTCATTTCCACACACTGTTATACAGGTGTGTGTGTGTGTGTGTGTCGTCATTAGTTACAGTGACACATGAGACGAAACTGCTGATGTGTTGACTCAACCCTCACCTGACGACAACCGTGCACACAAAAATATTAATCTTGGCTGTGACCGAACAGCTGGTTGACTGATGACCATGTTGAGTTCCAACATGGGGAACTTTGAAAATGGTTTATTACATATATATTTCATGTTTTGTGACAAAACAAAAATAATGAAAAAACATATATCTCAAAATGTTTGAATTAATCTCAGAGACACAAAGTGACCACAAGAGGCAGCAAATCTCTACAGTACTTTATCAGTATTTCCTTTTGTGTTAGTTTGTGGGAAGGAAATTTGACCACAAAAATATTGGCAGAATGTGGTGGTAATTCAAGTCAGCTTACTTGAAGTACTATGTTCTGTTGTGTGTGTGCGTCTGGTTGTGCGTGTACCGTCAAGGCGTTGTGGTGGTGGTTGTTATTGCGTAGGGGTGGCAGAGCAGCAGGTGAGGTGGTCTGAGAGCTGCTGTGACCTGGTGAATAGACCGGCTCGCCCACTTTGCCTGATAAAAAAAGAAAAGAAAAAGAAAGACATGAAATGATTACTTCAGTCAGGAATGTTTGATTACGGCCATAAAAAAAAAGGACGATGACAAATCTGAAAGGATAAACAAAATCAAAACAAAACACAGGTCCTACCGTCGCTCACAGGCCGTCACCCAGATTAAAGTGGACTGATGACATGTCTGCAATTACGTGTGTGCTCCTTTAATCTGAACAAATACACACACACGCACACACACTCCTGCTCACTTTAATCCTGTTAATACAGACAATCCGGAGCTTCTGCTACAAGTGTGTGCTATAGTTCTTCAGTCAACGACTCATGACCCTAGAGCTGAAGAATTCAATTTAAACTAAAGCCCTTTATGTTTCTTGACATGACAGAAAACTCTTTGTGTGACGTGGGCTTTGACCCAAACACTAAAGAGACAACTCAACTTTGACTTCAGTCTTTCTGTGATGACCTTGACCTGTATTTGTGCCAGCGATTGACAGTTTTACTTCAAAACTTCAATGAAGTAGCGTCATTACTTTATCTTTCTGTAAAACAACATGGTCCATTATGAAATGGCTTCAATGTTCTGGCAAAATGCTATTAAATGTTTCTAATGCTTCTAAATTACTTATTCTCCTGTACCAATGCCAGTGTGGTAGCTATTTTATATTGCAGTTATCTTCATATCTCTCACCTTTGTACTTTTACCCTTGTGTGTTTGAAAACCTCAATTTTTACGTCAGTGACAAAAATAACCTCTTGAGGCAGCACTATACCAGCATATGCCAATTGCAAATTTTCTGTGTGGAGTTAAATGAAGGAGAGTTAGTTTCCTTAAAAATGTTGACCAAAAGCAGAGAATATATCTAGGTTTGTGCAGAGTTGGGCAGTCATTTTTGCATTAGCACAGTGAAGAATAAAACTGTGCAGAGTTGGGCAGTCATTTTTGCACTAGCACAGTGAAGAATAAAAAAACTATACGATAATTCAAACTGAAGTGACAATAGGAGATGTATAAAAATGTTTCATTGACACATTAACCAGATTCCGGTTCAGCTGTTTTCCCAGCAGCCACTGTGTTCCCCACAAGTACTGATAATGTAGGAAGGCTCCACAAAACAGCAGAACAACACGCACGGTATTTCTCACTGCCAGGCCTGACTAAAGAACACTAACAGACTGGAACTGACAGTGAACTCGACACCGAGCTGAAAATGCCAAAGCTCCAGCGAGCAGCCGCGGCATGCTGCTCGACAGGACGGGTGGGAAACTCTGGAGCAACGTGACCACATGCCTGCAGCTTGGAAAGTTTAGAAAGAGTCACCTGGAAGCTAGGCTAGAAGAGGAAGTGAATAGAAAAATGATGTACCTGGGAATATGAAATAGAAAAAACACGGAGAGCCACAAAAACCACCAATTCTTTGGCGACAAAGAAATGCTGTGATTCGTTAAATGCGTTTAGATGTTACGCCGGATTGATTTGGGTATATCACACGCCATCCACACACAGCCTATGGAAAAAAAAATCACAGATTAAATTCTACCTTAAATAACTCATTATAACTCATGACCCTGAACCGTAACTATTTTTTAAATATAAAATAAAAGAAATCAATATTAGCCATTAAATTATATTACGTTGTTAGTGAAATTTCCTTAATGGAAAATGTTGCTCCATGCCTGCTGTTAAGCGACAGCTAGTAAATTAACTGTTAAACAGTAATGAGTCAACAACCTCTTTTCCGATTGAGGAATCACAACAAATCACAATTATATGTTTTCTCAACTTAGTAACTAGTAACTTAGTTACTAAGTAGTACTTAGTTACAAAATAAAATGTAACTAGCATGTGAGATGATAATCAGTACGTTAATCAACACTAACTACAATTTACACACAAAACTGTCCCGTTTAGTGCATAAAAAACAATGCACAGTTAAGGTTCAATAGAAAGGTTTAAGTTACCTGCTTTAATGTCCATTGGAAGGACACAAATAGGCAGGTTCTTTCCCACAAGCTGACCTCAAACTGAACCAAACTGGAGCTTACAAATATAAAAATAAATACAGGGCTCCTCCACTTCACCCTCCTCTTCTCAAGAGCTTCAGAAACCACAATGGTAAACATGCCACGTTTCCATATTAAACTCTAATCAATGAGTGGAAAACAAATTCCCCTGACACAACAGTGAGTCGCACACTTTATATAAAGTGTAATAACAACATGTATGACTCTTGAGGCTACATCATTAATTAACAGCAAATAACTAATGGACTGTAAACAAAAACGCACCATTTTTGGTTCAAGTCACATGAAACATAAAAATAACATAAAGCTGTTTATTAAGACTTAATACAGCGTCGACGTGCGACAGTAAACACACATACATACATACATGCGCGCGCACGCACGCACAGTGGCTGATCTATGTCTGCTAGTTAGCTGTGGCTAAAAATAAACCTGACAGACTGGGGGAAGAAGACCTTTAAAAAACCCTCTGCTCATCTTATTCGTAGTATATTTTTAAATCCACATCGTCTACCTTGAGTAACTCGTTCTCAGGACACTACAGAGTTATTTTAATTAAAATATATATTTATATGTGAAATGGACAGCCTGGGTCTATTATTCCCCTCTGAGACATCGACGCCAAAGCGTTTTTACATCCACACTCATTCACACTCAGCGCAGTGTCTCCAACACACTGGCCGGGCTCAGGCGTTCTGCGGCCGGCTAAAGCAGGCTGTGCTCACCCGTCGGAAGGACCGAGGCTCCGGGCTTCTTGGTTAACATGGCGGCCGCTCCTCTCCTCTCCTCTGGACACAGACAAGCAGACAGGACACCTCCTCTTCCTCCATCCGCGACTCCTCCTCTTCCTCCTCCTCCCACGGAATGACTAAACAAGCAGCGTTATAACTAGCCGTATAGAAACGATTGATCATTAATGTGTACTGTTGTCATAATGTATAACATTTTTTAAAATCGTCGATGTCTCTATATTAGCAGTTATTAACACAATTGTTCCGAGTGTTAAAATCTGCCTTTCAACCTAAAAATACGACTTTAAAAGAGTACATTTCTATTTCTGATTCACAATTTAAAATTGTACACTTTCGTAAATGAAAGTTACATAAAATAATGATGATTGAATAACGATTAAAAAAAGATATAACCCTAAACCAGTTTGGAGGCGGCATATTAACAAATCTAAACTGACCACGTTATTCCTGCTACTACTACCGCTGTACTTTAATAATTACATCAATAAATAATATAAATAATAGTAGTTAAAACTGCTCATACAGTGTTACAAGAGCCCTATTCATGTTTTCACATAAATCCTTTTCGATACTGCCATGGTGAAGAAACACTGACATCGACTGGTTAAATTTCAGATTGCAACAAAAATAATTTAAAAAAATCAGTTTCTTCAGATTTGGTAGGTGCTGTCTGTCGCTATATTTTTAAATGTATATGCACATTTAAAGTAAGTACATACTGAAAAATGTCTGTCATTTGTAATGTTTAATGTACTGTACTGCAATCAAACATTTCAAAGAGTTATTCATATGAATAAAGATGTAAGTGTCACTACTTTCTAGTATCACTAGAAACGAATCTCTGACCACTGTTGGCAAATCTTTATCATATTTTCTGAACAAAAATTAATAATTTTATTTTTAAATCGCATTTTAATCTGTAAAACCAACCACGTATTTTGCTTTAAGAGCAATGTATGGTGTTCTGTTTTCTGCCAGTTATCTGTATTTTATCCCCCTTAAAAAATATCAAGTTTAACAATTAAATTGTAACTATAAATTTAAATCAAACTTTATTTTAATTAATGTACAATAACAATAAATAACAATAACTTTAAATATATATATATATAAAAAGAGCATCTACAGAGTCGACCCTGTGAGCCAATTATGAGCTCGCCTTTCCCGAGTACCGCCATCTATCAGCGATAATAACGGTGATGGCGGCGGGTCGAGGAGAATTTTACAGCAGTTTTGTGGAGGGTTTACGGCGACACCAAACTCCTCAAACTCCAGGACGAGGTCGAGCATCAGTTCACAGCCGCAGAAAAACATCGGGAGTTGGCAGAGAAGCAGTCGGAGGGCAGGGACAGAGAGGAGGCCGTGCGGGAGCGAGAACAACACATGACAAGAAGTTCATCAACAGGTGAGATGTCCGCCATTTTAATACAGAACTTTCTGGAAAGCTTAAACAGGTCTTTCGGAGGGTTATTCGATGTTTTATTAGTGTTTTATAGTACAACGAAAGTAACAAACAGTAATATTTTATCACATTTTTACCAAATCCTTCTTACAAAAGTTTAACCAGTGAAATAACACTGTCAAGATGTTGGAACCTCCAGGTACACAACAGTCCGATTACAATAAAGAGACCAACGAATATAAAATAATTATAAAACGACTATGCCAAAATATCAATACACATTTTTCTATATAAAACTATATAAAATCCGCAACGAAATAACCAAATTATCATGTGAACTTGTATGTGTTCACGTGATAATTGTGTGTTCGATACAGCTGGATTCCGAATCAGATTTAGAGTAAAAACTACTCTGATCCAAAATGATCCTATTTCAAATTGTTAAAAATGTAACATTTTTTGTTGATTTATATATATATATATATGTATGTATGTATATATATATATATATATATATATATATATTTGTTGTGGTTTTTGTCTACTACTGTATAAATGCCGATGGATGAAATGTCTTCTTTTATATGTACTTAGTGTAACACTTGGTTATTTTTAATTGTGAGGATTTCAGAAGTACTCAAACGTAATTACAATACACTGATTTCGAATTTTACTTCATCCCAACTTTTGTTGTTTCTCCCTCAGATTACCAACAGAGATCCTGATGAAGATTCTGTCATACCTCGATGCCCCATCACTGTTCTGCATTAGTCATGTTAACAGACTCTTCCACCAACTTGCAAATGATGAGTAAGTCTCAATGGTTTATGTCTGGTGTAGGTTTTCAGTCATCCAGGTCATCTTACCGAAAAACAGTTACATCGTGGGCAACTGGACGGAGTAGGTTTCTTGAAGACGTTTCGCCTCTGATCCAAGAGGCTTCTTCAGTTCTCAATGTTTTAACACATCCGAACAACATTACCATCTAAAGTAGTCAAATTGTTTCTCCCTTTAATGTAATTTTCTCATTGATTTTCCTAAGGGATTTTCCCGCAGTGACCTGTGACATTTCACTGCAGGGTTTTGTGGAAGAAAGTTTACATGTCAGAATTTGGAAGCCAGATGTGGAATCAGACGACAGTGCATGACGATTCTACGCAGGAAGTGCAGGATCAGTTAGAGAGCCAGTGGTTAACCCCTCCAGCAGAGAATGATGTCGACCAACTGGAGGATCAGTCTTTGGAACAGTTGGCAGAACAGCCTGTGGACAAATCTGTGGGTCACTGGAAAAGGTTGTACTTTAGGACTGTGGCTGGGCAGGAAATTAATAAGTGGAGAAAAGAATTGAAAAACATTAGTCCATACACCGGTCTGCCCCGACAGACTGAGTTCGTCCTCAGGTATGTTTTGATTTCACTTTCATGTCGTCTGATTTGAGTAACTTTACTGACACCTGAAGATCACAGTGTTTTGTACTAAACTGTCTTCTGCTGGAAGGATAATTGAATAATGAAAGAATACAGTACCTAGGCAGACTGATTAAATACATGTATAGTATTAGATGTTTGTTTGTTTTTTTCCTGAGAAACCTGAACATCACTTGGGAATTAACAGTGTTGGACCACTGGGGATTTGAAACCCACCTGCAGGAGAGAAGAGTTTTCTTCTTTGAGTCGTCTGTGATTGTCTACTGGAGCAAATGCAAAGTACTCTGTTACAAAGACATCAACAAGATACAGCTGCATGGTGTCAAAAGGGGGCCTAGCACCTCAAAACACAGGTAAGGAGTTACATATAACCTCCAAGTCACCTCCAGCTGGACTTCTTAACTGTTTTCCTTCTTACCCTAGGCCACAGTGGCAGTCCTTGATTTTTGAGCTGGACACAAAGACTTGCGATCCTCAAGTTATTGGTAAAGACAAACTCATGAAACTGTTACATCTGTCACCAGGCGTCATCATCGGTATTTGGAGGGTGAGGATATAGACTCACTTTTTAGTCTGTTTACTTTTTAGGGAGGGTGAGGATATAGACTCACTTTTTTTGTTTACTTTTAATTGAATAATAGGACTCTTTACAAGTGACAATGCTTTTTTGAGAATCCCTTGATTGTAGAAGTACAGATTAAAGGAACTCACATCTATACTCATTGAAATTTCATTACTTTTTAAAAAACATTTTTTTAGGCCCAATATTAATAGAATAACGTGAATACATTTTTGCCTGCTTACAGCAAGTTAGTGCTTGTAAGTGAGAACTGGATGTGCGTTTAAAAAGATCAAATCTACCTGTTTTGTTTTTTGTGTGATTAGGGCCAGTGTTGCATCTCCTTCATCATGATCAGCCTTCACCTCCACAGGCTGGTGGAAAAGAGTCTGCTTGGGTCTCCTGCCTGGTTGGTTTGCATTTACTTATTAGGTGAAATATTTAGATCAATGATCCAAACAGTTCCTAAAAAATTCTACTCAAATGTGTGTGTGTGTGTGTGTGTCTGGTTCTCACAGTCCATACTCTGAAGTCTTGAAACAACCATGCTTCAGTTCAGATCCTGAACTGGGTCTGCATGGCTACACTCTGCACTTTGTCCTGCACAACACCAACACTGAGATAATGGCGGGGAGTTCTAGACATCTCTTATGTCGGACAGGTAATGTAATAATTCAGAACCCCTCTACTATAAAACAAGCCTAAAAATGCTAGTAAAACTCTTATCTTATTTTAAAAAAAAAAACAACTTAACTTTCTAACCAAGTTACTGTGTTTAGGTCAAATCCAGAAAGGACTCCTGGAGTTAATAGTGATCGACGGGACAAACCTGTCACAACACAGGCCGCTGTCAGGCAGATTTAGCTTTCCTTGGACAAGTAACCTGCTGGAGGGATCAGTGGAGGTACTGCACGTCTTTCCAATAAATAATTTTTCCCCACTATGTCATTCTCGGATGACGTGACTTTTCTTCTGTTATAGAACTGCTGCGTGATGACAATGACGCTGATGGACGAGTTCCAGAAACCGTTCTGGTGTGTCAGCTCGCCCGTCTCTATCAGGATGGTAGAGGAGCAGCAGTCGTCGCACTACAGTGGTGAGCACTTCATGATGGACTACAGTGACAGTGACGGTAAGGTGAAGATGGAGCTTGAGTGGCTGAAGGAGGAGAAGCAGTTTTTCCTCATCGGCCTCACCATCCACATCTCTCTTTTGAAAATTAAGCAACACTTTGGACGAAGCTACTAATTTATTTTTTTTTAGTTTGTGTTTGTGTTAATTCTGATTTATGATTGCACACAGGTACATCGATTTGATTAAAACAAGCTTATATAAAAGAGAATTAAGTGTTACAATAACACATCCATAAGGTCTAGTGTGACTACGAATTCGTTTATTAACTGATGTTTCATTTTTAGTTGTCAAGTTATTAAAAGACTGTTTAGTTTTGTAAATTTTTATCTTACAGTTTGCAGTCTCACCGTTAGATGGCACAATTTCACTTGAATAATCATTTAGTCCAACTATGAGATCTGTGGATATAGAGGTTCTGTGGATATAGAAGTTCAAATATGTTTTCAACATCTTCCTCCTTAATCCAGAAGAAATGTTTTTTACGACCGGTAGAGGGTGCTCTAGTTCCATTATTAACATAGAAACGTTAATGAATCTTTTTACGTTGTAGCGGTAGAAATCTTTATCAACAAAGCACGTGGAAACTCACTGTTTTGTATATTTTTGTTCTTAAATGTTTGAATATACCTGGGGATTTTGTTTTATATATTTTTCCTCCGGTGAAGGCTGTTTAACAACACAACAGTAGAAGGCTGAACACCGTTTACCTGGGGTTTGAACTATTGTCCAAAGATCTGTGGAGAGGTTCATTTTGTTGTACAGAAAATATAAATTTGCTTAATAGAATGTGAAGTAAATGGTCAGCAAATGTCACAGATCTTTGTGAGTAAAAAAGTTATTCATTTTTGTATAGGTCTATGATTAAAAAAAACAAACTATACTGCTTCAGCTGAGTAGACAATGCATTTACTGTACTCAATACATGCTTTTAGTTCTCTCTAGTGGAGAAACGTAGTACTGTGCTGTGAAGGTGTATCTGTTCTCACAGGTTTTCAGGTACATTGCAAAACTGGTCCATCTTAAGGGTAACGGAATCAACTCAAGGGAATCCTTCTAACTCCTCTCTCTCCATACAGCGCCACTGTTTGTGTCAGTGATCGTCAGTCTACATATACTTCACTTCAAAGAGCTCCAAAAACTATAGAGGAATTGTCATAATGCTAGTGTATGTCCTGGGTGAAGTACTTTTCTTGAAGCAGGGGTTTGGTCCTGCATTCCTTAAATCAAAAAGGAAGGAAACCAGTCGACAGGTGAAGGCAGAACAAAGGAAGCAGTGACAGAGAAAAAGGACGGCTGACACCGAAAAGTGGGAGGAGCCATATGTGAGGAGAAACCGGTGGAGCAGGCTGGTGTATATTGTCCGTCCCAGAGCTTGAGTCAGTTTGTTCAGCATCTGAGGGAGACACTGCTACTGCTACTGGTGAAAAGTCAGAAGAAAAAGGAAAGAAACCATGGCTGTGAACAAATGTGTCAAGTATCTGCTCTTCTTCTTTAACCTGCTCTTCTGGGTAAGTCCACATCTAAACGTTTCTTTTCAGACTTCCTACATCTTCATCTGTCTGGGTTTGAGTTTGACATTGTCGTTAAAGCAAAGGGCATGTTCGTGAAAGAAATGTTGCGTTTCCTTAAGAACGCTTCAACTTTATTTTATAAATACAACGTTTTGGTCATGTAGAACGGTTTCGGTGTTATTATTTTCCCTGGAAATATTCAATTGTAAAAAGGAAGTGATACCAAGTTTCACAGAGCTTAGGTGTATTACACTAATCTAACAAACTGAACTGTGGCTTTATTCTAAATAGTTTTCTTTCTACCCCAGTTATGTACAGTTTGTGTTTTGTTTTGTTTTTTTCATAAAATGTGTTACTTATCCACCTTCTTCAAATTAATATTTAACAGATTTCACCTGCATGTCTTTTTAGAAATGTTCATTCTAATTTAAACACGTATTAACAGGTTAATCAGCAGTCTCTTCAGAGACCACTCATTTTTCACTCTCGTCTGTCCGTTGCCCCCCCGCCCTATGTTACCGCCTTTGCCTCTGACTTGTGCCGTAGAACTGGTCGTGTCACCTCTGTATTGTCTTCCTGCCGCTCCCTACACACACACACACACACACACACACACACAGACACATAAACGCAGACAAACACCTTTACTCGGTTTCAGGGCGTAACCCGCCCCCTCCGCCCACCTCCCTCTGTTGCCTCCACCGCTCGACCTTCTATTATCACGTCACACCTACAACCAGCATTGCACAACCTACTTTAGCCCCGGGATTCTAACCACATGACTGATTTCCTAATGTTTCCAAGGCAGGGGTTTTGGCTGGTTGAAACGGTGAATAATCCGCCAGCGTCGACTGTTGTTGTTAGCTGAGACTCAGATGATTGTTCTTGGTGATACCTGCTTTGTTTGTACAGTAGTGGAACCGTGTGTGTCAGCAAACATGTAGAAACAAGTGGGTAATGGTGGTTTGCAGATCATTTTACGTGTAGTAGTTTTTGGAAGTTGTAGTGATTTTGATGACCCCCAGATTTTGACACATATAGGAATGAGTACATACCTGAGAGAACTGGTAGAACCTGCAACTGGTCCTGTTACATTGCAGAATTATTTACGTGCTTATGTTAAAGAACTTGAGAAGCGAACTAGGCACAGACTTCCAGACTTTTGCTATCGTGACCTCGGGGAAAGGTTAAATTTCAGGTCAAATTAGTGGTTTGTTATTTTTCAATCTATTAAAGCAAACAAATATAATACATAATTACAGTGGGTTTCTTTCCCAGCGAGACCACAATTGTGATTGGATACAATGACGTGTGGCTAATGGATTACAAAAAAAAGTGAGGGCAAAACATAAGTTTGTTATGTGGATTATTTGGCCACCACCCGTTTACTCTGAACAATATCTGTTCAGGGTTTCACACTTTTGCCACAGTCACAAGCGTCCACGGTCGGCAGACGCCAAACACCGACTTACACCATAAATATGAGCTGTTGATTGTATGAACTGAAAATATTTCCTTGATAACAGAATCTCTCTGTCATGCATCTTCAGAGTCCACAATTGTGAGCCTCGCTCCCTCCCCCCAAACGTCTCTTACCCCACACAAGCAACCCATAGCAAACATGCGTACATAAAAACAGAGGTGTTGTGGTAATTAGACACTAAGTAGGTCATTGTTATTGGAGACTTGGACACTAAGTAGGTCATTGTTATTGGAGTTACAAAGACTTCAAAGGTTTCATTCTACCTGTTACAAAAAAAAGTTCAAACATTAGTCGATTTCAATTTAAACTTTGTAGTACTGCCTTTTTGGAGTCAAGTTTAAAAATTGTCATGCACACACTCTGGAGTATCTCTGGCTTTATGTTGAAAGGGAGCACTGCTTCTTGTCACAAAGTTCCCTTTCTTTATAAAATTTAAAAAATATATACATGTATAAAATAATTTTAAAAAAAACTAATCTTGAAGACGTTTATGTTGTTGACCTGAACAGAAGCAATCAGAGACGGAACGACAAACATCATCAGCAAATACATCAGTATATCAGCAGCTGATCTTCAACTTACTGTAATATGATCGTAGCAGTACTGACCCGAGACTTGAAGATACAAGTATTACTTTATCCAGTCTAGAGTTGTGGGGGTAGTGGCTGGAGCCGAACCACTGCAGTCAGTCGGCAAACGTTGGGTACACCGGTTCTTTGGTCCATCCCTGAGTCACATGTCAAGCAACCTTCTGTCATTTACATTCGTACATAAACTGGTCAATAAGTGGTTGAGCTGAGGGTCGTTGCTGAGGCGATAGTGCCTCTAGTGCAGCCCATGGGCTTAGTTATCAGATCAGATGGACTGTAGTTGTTTTTTTGCTTTTTTTGATCCTGAAATTTTTTTACTGATATCACCAATCCTGAGTATCGGATCAAGCCGTCCTTGTCAGTTATCGCAGGCGATTGAACCTATGACCTTACTGTAAAGTGAGAGCACCAACACCACTCTGACTGATACAGTTTTCCATCCACACGCAGACCATCTGACGTAGTACAGACATGATCTGGCTGATCTGATTGGCTGAGACTCAAGGTTGGAGGTTCGAGCACATGTATTTCATTAGCACAAACATAATCAAAAAGTGGGTGGAGAAATGTCCCAGTGGAACATTTTTGTGTCTTTATCATGATCAACATTCAGATCTATTGTGTGATGACAATAGATCTGAATGTACCACAGCCTTAGGAATCTTCTGGTACTATATCCCTGAGTATTGTCAGTTAGCAACACTTGGATATCTGCTATCATTAAGTCATCCACCCAAGGCCACGTCTCCAGATGCATTCCAATGCAGACAATTTCCACTGACTCAAGATTGAATCCCTCAAATATATTCAAACATCACAGTGACTTTGCTTGCTGTTTTCTGCTCCCTGTTATAAATAAATGAAATAAATGTACAGCAGCAGTGAAGTGTTTACATGGCGTGCCTCCCACTCTGGTTTATTTCAGTCTTCCCAGAAACAAAGTTAGGTCGATGTTAACTTGATTTTAGCCACTCACACAGGAGACAGCAGTAAACAGTGGTGATGTTGTTGCTGATGATAATGATGATAATGATGATGTTGATGATAATAGTCCGTGTGTTTGAGGTCCACTGTAAATGTCAGTCACTGTCCTCATACTGCAAACAGTGGTTTACAGGGAAAAAATGCATAATTTCTCCATGAACTTTGGAGTAGAAGGGACAGTGGTTTAAAACGTTCACCTTCTCCTGGGTTTTCTTTTTCTTACCCTTAAACAGTTAGTGATCCTCGGTTTGTGGCAACATTGATTTTACTGGTCAAGGTGTGTTAATGTGTGCATGTGTTCAGGGTGTGGTTTGACACATTTTGAAGACGCGTCATGACCTTGAATCAGGTGTCCTGTTCATTTTTGTTTTTTTTTTTGTTCTTTGTCGCCTGAAGAAGGCAATCCATCTTGATCCAATGTAAAAAATAAACAAAGTTTTATTTAGTTTGTTTTTGACAGACAAAAGGTTTTCATTGTACCTAAAAAATACAAAGATTACATGTAGCTTGCACAAAGACTCAAAGAGGATAAACACAGGGCAGTGTCACCTCACCTTAGTCACTTTCTGTGACTGTGCAGTATATTATTTTATGAAGTTCATACACTTGGCTTCTACTGTAGAGGAGAACTTATGACAACAACATGTGAAAAAGGAAATGTTTTTGCACATTTGTATATTTTTTGTTCTGCACCAGTAACTTGTGACTTCCATTATAATGTCAACACTGTTTGATTAAATCCGTTTTATGGGTTAGTTCATCATGAAGTATTTTATGCACTGTCATTTGAATACCTTGAAAGGAGCTAATCTCTTTTTTTATGTCTTTAGATCAGTGGTTGCATAATCTTGGGTGTGTCCATCTACCTCAAAGTACACAAGGAGGGAAACGAGGTGAGAAACGTGCAAGTTTATTTATTCTCCGTACAATGTTCAAATGACAAAGTTTTGGTAAGAATTCACTCTAAAGCTAAAAGAATTCATTAAAAATGGTTACTAAATCACCTGACTAATTAATGACAATGACATCAAGCCGTCCTTGTCAGTTATCGCAGGCGATTGAACCTATGACCTTACTGTAAAGTGAGAGCACCAACACCACTCTGACTGATACAGTTTTCCATCCACACGCAGACCATCTGACGTAGTACAGACATGATCTGGCTGATCTGATTGGCTGAGACTCAAGGTTGGAGGTTCGAGCACATGTATTTCATTAGCACAAACATAATCAAAAAGTGGGTGGAGAAATGTCCCAGTGGAACATTTTTGTGTCTTTATCATGATCAACATTCAGATCTATTGTGTGATGACAATAGATCTGAATGTACCACAGCCTTAGGAATCTTCTGGTACTATATCCCTGAGTATTGTCAGTTAGCAACACTTGGATATCTGCTATCATTAAGTCATCCACCCAAGGCCACGTCTCCAGATGCATTCCAATGCAGACAATTTCCACTGACTCAAGATTGAATCCCTCAAATATATTCAAACATCACAGTGACTTTGCTTGCTGTTTTCTGCTCCCTGTTATAAATAAATGAAATAAATGTACAGCAGCAGTGAAGTGTTTACATGGCGTGCCTCCCACTCTGGTTTATTTCAGTCTTCCCAGAAACAAAGTTAGGTCGATGTTAACTTGATTTTAGCCACTCACACAGGAGACAGCAGTAAACAGTGGTGATGTTGTTGCTGATGATAATGATGATAATGATGATGTTGATGATAATGGTCCGTGTGTTTGAGGTCCACTGTAAATGTCAGTCACTGTCCTCATACTGCAAACAGTGGTTTACAGGGAAAAAATGCATAATTTCTCCATGAACTTTGGAGTAGAAGGGACAGTGGTTTAAAACGTTCACCTTCTCCTGGGTTTTCTTTTTCTTACCCTTAAACAGTTAGTGATCCTCGGTTTGTGGCAACATTGATTTTACTGTTCAGGGTGTGGTTTGACACATTTTGAAGACGCGTCATGACCTTGAATCAGGTTCGTCCTGTTCATTTTTGTTTTCTTTTGTTCTTTGTCGCCTGAAGAAGGCAATCCATCTTGATCCAATGTAAAAAATAAACAAAGTTTTATTTAGTTTGTTTTTGACAGACAAAAGGTTTTCATTGTACCTAAAAAATACAAAGATTACATGTAGCTTGCACAGACTCAAAGAGGATAAACACAGGGCAGTGTCACCTCACCTTAGTCACTTTCTGTGACTGTGCAGTATATTATTTTATGAAGTTCATACACTTGGCTTCTACTGTAGAGGAGAACTTATGACAACATGTGAAAAAGGAAATGTTTTTGCACATTTGTATATTTTTTGTTCTGCACCAGTAACTTGTGACTTCCATTATAATGTCAACACTGTTTGATTAAATCCGTTTTATGGGTTAGTTCATCATGAAGTATTTTATGCACTGTCATTTGAATACCTTGAAAGGAGCTAATCTCTTTTTTTATGTCTTTAGATCAGTGGTTGCATAATCTTGGGTGTGTCCATCTACCTCAAAGTACACAAGGAGGGAAACGAGGTGAGAAACGTGCAAGTTTATTTATTCTCCGTACAATGTTCAAATGACAAAGTTTTGGTAAGAATTCACTCTAAAGCTAAAAGAATTTATTAAAAATGGTTACTAAATCACCTGACTAATTAATGACAATGACAAGACAATTACATAATTCTGTGTGTGAAAGCCGTTTCACCTGAACCTTTCCTGCTGCTCATTTCCAGATCTTCAATGAATCCATTCCTGGCATCGACTTACTGATCGCCGTCGGCGTCATCATCATGGTGCTGGGGTTCCTCGGCTGCTGCGGCGCCATCAAGGAAAACCGCTGCATGCTGCTGTTGGTAAGTCAGCACTTGTCACTTGACGTGCAAGCCTCCTCTCCGTAGCCTTTTCTGGTTAAACTAGTTCAAAGGCTAAAAACATTGTCCACGTTAGACATGAATCTAACTTCCTTTGTCCTGTTTTTACTCAGTTCTTCATCTCCCTCCTCATCATTTTCATCCTCTTGCTGGCTGCAGGGATTCTGGGAGCTGTGGGCGAGTCCAAGGTAACAAGACTTTAATTATCTGTTTATTTATTTAGACGTAAATAATCATTGACTTTGTTCGTCTTTTTTATTCCTGACTGACTCAAACGTTGTGTTTTTCCAGGTGAAGGACTGGGTGAAGGAGAAGTTGGAGAAGTTCACTCCACTCTCTAAGCAACCACCAGAGATCAGAGAGGACCTGGAGAAGTTACAACGCGAGGTCTTTATAACATTCATTCTTGCGTGCCTGTTGTTAAGAGGACAAAATACACTAGAATAGAATACCAGAACATTGTGACACAGTACAACCCTTGGCCTTGGGGCTGGAGAAAAAATGAATGGATAGCATCCGATATATTACTCTATATTCTCACAAATATTTTGGTGGGAAACAGTGAGGTTAAATGGAAAAATTTATAAAATTAACAAAAATGAGTTTAAGTGCATAAAGAAAAGAGCCCTATATTGGGAAGAAGTGCTATTAAGACAAATGGTGTATTATAATATGTTAAAAAGGAAATGGGTAACTGACCAAAAAAAAATAAAAAACGTATGGCTTTGGCTAAGCATGTAAGGAAATGGGTAACTGACCAAAAAAAAGAAAATAAAAAAAAAAACTTAAGCATTCTGTCGAAATGTAGTTACCAATAAAATCCACTAGATGGCACACACCCACTGGGCTCCAATCCCTTCCTCAGTGTTCAATGTCATTGGTCTAAAGTGCCTAAAACTAATCAGTGTTTTTATTTTTGTTTAATTCAGGCTCTGCGCCTTTTGTCTAGTTGTAATTAATTATTATTTTTACAAATAATTAGTGTCTAATCACGTGAAATATTGAAAAGAAAAAAAACTTTGCTAGGCTTTTCTATAAAACAACTGACCTTAGAAAAGCGCCCTCTAGCGGTCAAGGTGCTCATACAGTATTTGTGTTTTCCCTCCAGCTGAAATGCTGTGGCCTCATCAATGGACCATCAGACTGGGAGAAGATTCCTGATTCTTGTCGCTGCAATGGCACCACTACTGAGTGCAAGTCCTCCGCCATTTACCAAGAGGTCAGGACACGTGCACACACACACACACACACACACAGACACACACACACCTGAAAGTTGAATGTTCTTGCTGACGTTGTCATCTCGCTGTCACAGCCCTGTGCCACCAAAGTCATCAGTCTGATGGAGAAGCACATGGAGGTGGTGCTGGGAATCGCCTTCGCCATTGCTGCCCTGCTGGTCGGTCAACATCCACTATACTTTTATATACATTTAAAGAGTTCATAACGTTTCCACTAATTTGCATGGAATGGATTTTCTGTGTTTGTGTTCTTCAGTGTTGACACTGATGTTACACCACATACAATAACCAACCTGTCATCCTGCAGGTTTTCGGGATGATCATGGCCATGATCCTCTACTGTCAGATCGGAAGGAAGGACAGCGGCGCCACGACAAATGCCTGAAGGCCCGCCTCTCACGAATCCGCCAGTCAGCATCAGCCAAAGGACTTAAGCTCCACCCTCTAGGCATCCACCTCAGTGCTACTGTAGTTTTACCTAAGCTGTTATTGTGAAGGATAAAATACTTTTACTTTTGGGCTTACACTTTGTCTAATGAAAAGTACACCATATCCAAGTGCGGTGACAAAAATGTGTCATAGTTATACTATATTTACTACATTATATTAACCCTTAGCCAAACAAGACAAGTGATAGAAAATTAAAACATAATAGATTTTTTTTTACGAATTAAAAAGAACAAAAGTATATTTAATTCTGTAAAGAGTCTTACTTACGCCAAAACACAACGATGTTACTGTTACGTAAAACATAATTTGAATATCTTTATTTTCATTATTTAGTTAGTTAATAAATCATGGTCATTTAGTCATGATTTTAAGGATTTTATTAGAAATGTTTTGCGCCGTGTGGTTTAAAATAAAAACAAGCGATACTTAGTCTGTTTTTTCTGTCATGCTGGAACTGTTACGTTGTTAAACGTAAAAACGTGTTATCTTAAAGTATTCCCTCAGGAAGTAATTTTTTTGTGCTGAATCTACTAAACACAAACAACCATTTTTACAGGATAGTCCTGTAAAACGATATCTCTTTTTTGTTTGCGGTGTTGATGAACGGTGGTCTTTTTTTGTCAAAGTAGTAAAATGTTGTACATTTAGGTTCCTGTGTTTGTTTTCTTTTATCCACTACTTGAAATAAAAGTTGTTGTTTGACATTAATTTTATAATTTACTGATTTTGGCAGATGCAAATTTCATTGCACCACCCCCTGCTGGTGCAATCCCATTTAATTATTTAAACGTTACCATACATTTTGTGTCACAGGGAATGACTTTCAGAAGTAGCATCATCAGCTGTGATTTCAGTAAAACGTTGACTTGAATTGGTTGTTGCTTCCAGGAATCAGGGTTATGTTGTTGCAACTTTCTGCAGCTTGTGATGCCACAAACAATATTGACGTCTGTGTTGTTCAAGTGCAACATTTCCGCCATGGCCAAGTCAACAATGTAAGGCTGGCTGCCATCTACTGGTTGGCTGGTATATTCTGTTTAAATATTTTTGTTAAGATAATTAATTAATGACATCCAGTGAAATTGCACAAACAAAATGTTTAAAATAACTTTTAATTAAATGGTAAATTAGCAAAAAAAGAGTGTGATACTTTTATGTGAAAGTAAGGATTATGTTAAGATAATTAATTAATGACATCCAATCAAATTGCACAAACAAAATGTTTAAAACAACTTTTAATTAAAGGGTAAATTAGCAAGAAAAGAGAAAGTCCGATAATTTTATGTGAACGTAAGGATTCTTTTTGCAAGTTTTCAAATATAGCTAGTGTGAATGTGAGCGTGAATAGTTGTGAACGGCACATAAATTAAATCCTCTTCCACTAGGTGCCAGCAAATGGCTATAATGATTGAAGTAAGTGAGAGAGATAGAGTTGTTGATGAAGATCTTTGTGTGTGTCTTTCTTCAATTCCTGTGAGTGTATCAGTATTGTGTTCATCTGAACAGGGTCAGGTTTCACACTGTAAGTGAATGGTGAATAAGTTGATTTCAGAAGAGCATCGAAAAAAGATTGTTATACAGACTTTTGAGACTTGTTTGTTTAGGAAACCCCGCATTTCAAAAATGCACATCTGAGATGTTTCCTCTTGTTGTGTTGACATTTCTCTGTAGTTTCTGTCAGATTATGTCTCTGTGCAGCCGTCAAATATCAAAGAAACGCCTTCAGGAACCACGGTTGCTCGACAGTGAAAGCTTCATCACGTGTTAGAGCACGGAGCAGCTGAGCTCTTCAACATCATTTGTGGGTGAGCAAAAACAGCTGATCCTGAAACACACACACACACACACACTGTGCAGTGCAGCCTCTTCAGATATTTTTAGGCTAAAGTAAACGCAGGAGTGCCATCAAAGCCTCCACTGGATTCCATTCCATTTTTTGTTCATCAGACGTCACAGTCTATATAAGAACGGTGATAACAATGCAACCAATGGAAAACTAACTTCGACGTTATGGTAATACAGGTAGTGTTTACCAACCTGTTGACAGGTTAGTACCAGTACCATTGTTTGGTACTTGCTGTACTAAGAGCTCTTATTCTAGCGGTCAATCATGGTGGTTTCTTCTTCCGTTACCAGGCAACACTGAAATGTGAAGTTATAAAAATGTTCACTCTGGCACAGACTGCTGTAAAAATGACTTTCTGACCTTTGACCCAAACATGTGACCTGTAATAACTAATAGAAACAAACTTTCAACATGAGGCAAATCCCCAAAAATATCCTTAGATGGCACTGCAGCGGGACATTTTTGGTGACTTTTCTCCTCTCCTCTCCTTTTTTTTTTTTTTTTTTTTTTTAAGGAAACTGCTGAAACAGGATCCTGGGTTTGATCTGATTGGAGGAAGGAAGGTGGAGTCGAAGAAACAGGAAGTTTTGATGACGCTAATTAGCATCATTGGCAATTTGTTTTTTTGTTTCTGTAGTTACAGAAAAACACAATTTCATTTTGTCTGTTGTTTATATTTAAACGTTTCTTGGATTGTTTTTACAGTATCCATCTCTTCCCATGTTGTTTTCTTCTTATTTCCTCACCTTCAACAGCTGTCCTTCCCCTTCCTCACCTCCTCTCCTCTCATCTTTTCACTTCTTGTATCCTTTTCTTTCCTCTTTCTCCCTCATTTTCTCTGTCCGTCTTCATTTTTTGTTCCCCCTCTCCTCTCTTTTTCCACTTTGCATCTCCTCCAATCTCCCTCCTCATCTTTGTTTTCCTTGTCCTCCTTCCTTCTTTGCTCCTCCAGACGCCATCTAGTTCAACTTCTATCTCTGACCATTTTTGTTTTCTTGTTTAATCCCTGCCTCCTGTCTTCATTGTCATCCACTCTGTCACTTCTAGGTTTACCTTCACTACTTCACTCTCCCCACAATCCCCCCCCCTCTCTCTCAATTCAGTTTACTCTTGTTTATTGTCTTTTCCATTGTCATTTCGTCCCCTTTCTCCATCTCTTCTCGCCTCTATGCGTTCTTTTCCTCTCCTCTTCTCCTCGTGATCTTCCAAACTTGGTCATGTTCTTGGTTCAGCA